TCTAACACATGTACAAGATAATATATAAATAGATCTAACACATGTATAAGAGAGAAAATGAATGCTACTTAACATCTCAAAGGTGGAACAAGTAATGATATATATGTTTAAGAACAACCATATTTATACTCTATAAAAATCAATAGGTTTGTACTTAATAGGTATGTTTAAAAAATTATGTAAGTGTTAATTACAGATTAATTCTTTTAAATAAGGTCTGAACCTGGAGACAGTCATGAGATCATTGTAAAATAAAATAACATTTTATTGAGCATCATAATTATTTTACAAATATCCATAGTATTCTATACCTAAGACACCATTCGTAGTATAAAATGTATTTTTTACTTCGTCGAGTACATGGTTTAAACACACAGAATTTTAAAAAATTCCTTGGTAATGTAGTGAGCAGGTTTCAGTAACACTAAATAGGGTTCTTCACCCCAAATATTTCCTGTAAAATTGTCTGGCGATGTCAACAGCACTGAATCTCAGACCAATGGCATTCACAGTTTTTGTTTTATGAACAAGTTCTTCACAGTCTATGAGCTTGGAATATTTTAGTTCTTGTTGGTTAAGAAGTTTCTTCAAGCGACGTCTTTAGAATGGTTTGGAGGTGTGCTCTTCCCATAGAAATGTCGAAGGATTGGGGCAGATTTTCCTCCTTAACAGATTCGTCGGATATGCTTTCGTAGTCTTTCACAAAAGTACATGTTTTGATAAAGGAGGTTGGTGACAATGTCACTGATACCGCTAAAGTTGGTTATCAGTTCTTCCCACTGGGTAGCTGTAATGCTGAGGCTACTTTTTTCATCTCCTTGAGCAGAAAGTTGTTTCAGAGTGAAGTGGGAATCCTTATACGTGACCACAAAGTTCTTGGGCAACTTCAGATTCAGTGTCAGCAGGTCTTGTTCCTCCACTTTCATGTTGGTTGCGAGAACATTCAAACACCATGGCTCAAAGTTCACTCCTCGTCTTGTCGGATAGTAAGCATTACCATATTTGGCATACTCTTTGATGTGAACAGTCACTTTTCCCTTGTAAATGCTGGGTCCCACAAAGACAATGTTTACCATGTGAGTGAGCTCCTCTGGAACAGAGTCTTCAGTGAAGAGTCCTTTGCGCTGAAAAGAAAAATTCAGTTACTATACCAATAACATACATAAAAAATGGGGTCACATACAATATAAACTTTAACATATAAACTACTTTTTTCTCGAAATAGGATGTTTCTTCTGCTTTTCTTTTGGCATAAGAGCTAGCTGATTCTCTTGCAACATCTTGGGTGCAAACGAAGTCTTCATGGCTCAACACTTTATCGTTCAAAGGCATAGGTTCTTTCTCAGATAGGTTTTCCATCTGAAAAAGTAAAGACAGGTTAAGCACACATTGCAAATTCAACTACTTTTAAAGATTAAAATTCTAAAAAACAGTATTTTTCATAAAAAAATTACTTACTTTTGGTGCGGTATGGTTTCGTGGCTGATTCATTCGAAGCAGTGAAGAATGATAGACGTTGGTCGAAGCAAAAGCAGGTACGTACATTCAGGGCGAAGGCAAGGAAAGAAGTGCGGAACGTTTCTCGGGCTAGCCTTATATTGGGCAGGAACTATTTATTTCATCTGAACGGTGAACGGTGAGGTCATATTTCAAAGAATCTGATTGGTCCACAAAAAAGTATCCATACACCTAAGCGGAGGCATACAAAGGTGTGATACGGCAGACGCCATTTTGTAAGACAACATGCCCAAACAAGAAATGGATGATGTCATTCCAGACACGTAGTTCAAGAGCTCGTTGCCATAAACAAAAAAAATTGTCGTTGCCACAAATTATTCTATTTGAAATACGAATATTCCACGAATCCATTTGAAAAAATAGATTCCTTGCCACAGAAAAACAACGAAAGTTTGATGATGTCATTTCGTCTATGTCATCCGATCCACTTATGTCACTTCCGGTTGTCACGTGATCTAAGATGGCGGGGACCACGCCCCTTTTCTGTGACGCCACTTCCGGCTGAGGACACCCGCTTACTACTGTCGTACAAAGTCAAAAATGAAATGGTTAAAGAAAATGTTAGTGCTACAGAAAATAAGGCAAATGCAGCGTTTATGGCTATATTTTGCATTATAAGAAAATCTAAATTGAGCATCTGCGTGAAAAAACCTCTTTAAGTAACTTTAATTCTCCCTATACGGCTCTACGCCGTCCCAGCATAGGCAACTGCTTTCCAGACTGAGATTAAAGATCAGCGTCTTGCAAAACAAAATACTTAGAGCAACCGTAAACGCTCCGTGGTTTGTTCGAAATTCCCACATTCATGAAGAATTAAAGATAAAATGACCGAATCTTAATCTCAGCACATCATTTCTTTCAAAGAATGCAAAATTATCATTATGTAGCCATTGTAAACAACAGTTGAAAACACTGTTAAGACATGGAACGATTCCCAACAACTCGCGATGGTGGTAGTAAATATGTACATACGGGGACAAATAGAAACTTTTATTTCTCCTAAGCAGGGAATGGATTTGGACTACCTGGTAAAGCAGGTTAAGTTGTTTACTTATCAACTATTATTTACTTCATTTATTTAATCATTATTATTCAATGTTTTAGTGTATTTGTAAAAATTTTACTACCAAAGTTTGAGCGTGAACGTCGCCATTAACCAAACACACTACGTGGCCTTACTTGCATTCATTTCCAGTTCGTGAACCTGCAACATCGACTTAATCCTAAAAATGAATTTTCAAGATTATTTCTCAGTTTACTGAAATTATGAAAGTGAAATTTCAACATTAAAAGAATTCATTTAAATAACTTAAGTACATGCAGTTACATTTCTTCAAATTTTGCCTTAACGATTAATTGAATAATTAAGACACAATAACACGCCGAATAAATACTAATTCAGAAGCCAAACAACAAAAATCAGCGTTAATTTACAAAATTTTCACAGGACTAGTTTCGATGGTTTACCGAACCAATTTGCCAAAACCGCAAATCATTGCGGTTTTGCAGTGAAGATGATGGTCGGTAAAACCATCGAAACTAGTCTGTGAAAATTTGTAAATTAACGCTGATTTTTGTTGTTTGGCTTGTGAATTAGGATTAATTGAATGTCAATTTCGGAGAGAAAGTTTTCCATTAGCTGGTTAACGTCACGTGAAAAGAAATCGCAAGTTTCAACATTCTATATATATATATAAAAGGCTGTAAATAGTGTATGTGTATATATGAATCTAAATAACAATAGCTACTAGCGTAAAGTGACTACATTTTCATCGAGACAAAGCGGGAGAAAATGGAAGGAAATGAAAATTGTAATTTAGTTATGAAAGCAAACCAATAATTCAAAAAAATGCATTTTATTGTATAATAATTACTTATCTATAAAATATAAAAATATATTTATTATTAACTACTGGTAACATAAAATATTTGTAAAAAAACTATAATGAATATGTATTTTAATTAATTAAAATTTTATTAAAAAATTATGGTTTTTTCACGGTTATATTTTTATCAGAGTGAATACTTTACAATAGATTCGGATCATTTATTAAAATGTCGTGAAATTTCTCACATGAATTTTTTAAGCTTAATACATATTTTAAAGTTTAAATGTTAAACTGCGTTATTTCAATTGTCCATATTTTATTGATACTAGAAAAAACACGTTTTATTGCTGCATTTGTTCCTGGAATTGAGAGCGCATGTTCTACAATTTTCAAAATATTTTTATAAGGAATATTATGTTTAAAAGGAAGGAATAACTCACTCCATTTTTTTTGTCGGTTTCCACATTTGCAGACAACGAACATTTAATTTTTCTTCAGTAACGTATATTTTTAAAAATGACACCTCATCAAAAAGATCTTTTTCGCAAATATTATTTTTCGGAAAATGGTTACTAATATATTAAAAAGATTTTTCTACATATTCCCATAAAATCTCCTTTTTTAATGTCAAAAAATGAAAATTTTTAATATTCTGGAATTTAACTGTCTGTTCTTCAAGATATTCCAAGCAGTTATTATAAAAATTTCTGACTTCTTATACACAATCAGGTCGTTTAATGCCATCTTGTTCTTTCAACCTAGTGATGTTCTTTCGAATAACTAAAGGATCGTAGTCGTTATCAATTCTTTTTCGCAATTTTGTTTTTAAATTATGGATTTCATTTAATACTTCCATAATTGAAATTTTGTCCCCTTCAATAATTTTCACAGCATTGTGAAATAATGTAGCTTGGTTGTGGATGAACTGATGCCAATTTTGTGATGTGTCATTTTCAATAAAGAGCTTTAATATTCTTGGACATTTATCTCGTGATAAAAAGTGTGATTTTTAATGGTTCGTATATTTTTAAAATATTTTCTACAGCTGGTAAAAGAGCTAGCCATCGTGTTTTGCTGTAACCAATAATTCTTTTATATTCGATTTCTGCGCTTTCACAAAAATCCTTCAAACTTACAATGCGCACAGTGTATGTATATAAAAATAAGAATACATTTTTGCAATAATATTTTCAAGATCCACTGGAAGTAAGTCAGATGCTGTTTCAATAGTGCTGTGTAGAATGTTCTTGAAGTAATGTAGCTTTCTGATCTAAATTTTCTTAATTTTGCTAAATTATTTATCCTCAATAGAATTTAACAAGTCAAACAACAACAACAACAAAATCCTTGGCTTGAAATCATGCATGCTGCACAGCCCTCTATGATGATCATTTTTAAACACCAGCCAGGTTCCTTTACGTAGTCCTTTTGTTTTGCCAGTCCAGTTTAAGTAACCAACTAGTTATTGCCTTGTATCAGAAACCATAAATGAAAAAATCATTTCGGACTTTCTTTTCTATACATAAATTTATCGTCCCTTACTCTACTATGCTGATTTTAGATGGAATATTATATTTTTTCAAAGTATATTAACCGTATACAACACGCCACATATTCTAGATACGCGAAAGTCGCCATGGGATTTGTTCAAATATGTGTAAGGGTCATGATGCAGCTAAAGTTGTTCTGGAAGAATCTGGAGATAGAACTTTAATGTGGGACGAGATCAAATGCTTCTTAAATGCAAGATACGTGTCTGCCCCTGAAGCAGCGTGGAGGCTGTTTGAAAAAAGAATGCATTCTAAGTCGCACTCCATCATACGACTACCGGTTCATTTGGAAAACCTGCAGCCCGTCTATTTTGCCGAATCCGAAGAAAGGAATGCTTTCCAGAGAGCTGCCGAGAAAAATACCATGCTCACCGGATGGTTTGAACTGAACAGGACAGTTCCCGAAGCGAATGGTTACCTGTATGCCGAAATTCCTAAACATTTCACCTGGAGGAATCATGCCTGGCAGACACGAGTTAGACTTGGAGATTACATCATTTCAAGAATGTATTCTGTTGGCCTTAGCCCAAAAGATATTTAGCGTTTTCATCTGAGGTTGCTGCTGTGTCACGTTAAAGAAACAAAGTTTTGCTGACTTAAGAACTTATGAAGGTGTGGAGTATTCAACGTTTCAAGGAAGCCTGCCGTGCAAGGCATCTGCTGCAAGACGACGAAGAATGGAAAAATACTCTGGCAGAAGCATCAGCTTTTCAAATGCCACAGCTAAGACAGCTTTTTGCTTCATCTGTGCAACTGCAGAAGTGCTGCAAGAATAACGACTGACAAGCAAATGGAAAGCAATAAGATTTAACAGAACTCCGCTTGGAGTTGTACAATAAAAGACATTTGCTTGAACTTAAAAGACTAAAAAATAAACTAAAACTAAGCATCGAAGCTTTTCAGCGCTAAGCTCAAGCTGAGACAGCTTTTTTGATTCTTCACTCAGCTTCTTTTTTTTGCTGCCCCGAACCCTCGCTTTGTGGAATGAATTCAAAGAGTCCCTTTCTGAAGATTTTGCGAGATCTTACTCCTTAGAAGACAGTTTCAGCCTTGCACTGAGAAGTATAGAAGACCAGTTAGAAGTGCACAATGTTTCGCTATGTTCTCTTGGTCTCCCGCAACCAACATTGACTGATGCTGTTTCTCTCGAAGTCCCGCAGTTCGATGTCCAGTATGAAAACGAACAAGCCGAAGTGTTGAACGGGATGTTGAATCCTGAACAGAAATTAGTTTACGACTTCGGTTTTGGAAGCTGTACGAGATGAGAATCCTAACACACCGAAGACATTTTGTGTTAATGCGTTTGCCGGAGCTGGAAAAACCTTTTTTTAGGACGATCCTTCATGCTGTTCGAGGAATGGGCCACGTTGCCATTCCCGTTGCGTGGACAGGCATTGCTGCTGTGCTGTTGACCGGTGGAAGAACTGACACTCTACTTTCAAGTTGCCCGTTTCCACTTCTGGAAAATTCTTCGTGCCGTGTGAGACAGAAGATAGCGCTGAAGGAAGGTACTTGAAGACTGCGAAACTTTTCATATGGGATGAATGCACCATGACGCCTCATTACGCTTTGGAAGCTGTCGACAGATTGCTGAGAGACTTGACCGGACTGGATGTTCCTTTTGGCGGTAAAACCTTAGTTTTAGGAGGTGACTGGAGACAAACATTACCTGTTGTCGCACATGGAAACCGAACTTCTGCGATCGAGAGCTGCCTCAGGAACTCCTTTTTGTGGCCACATTTCAAACAATGCACGCTTTCCACCAATATGCGATTGAATCCGGAAGAACAAGAATTTTCAGAATGGCTTCTGCAGTTGGGAGACGGTCGTCTTAAAAATGACAGTGGCTTGGACGAAGACATTATCGAAATTCCATCTTTGTGTGTGGTCAACAGATCGATAGTAGAAGAAATGTTTGGCTGCGGTAATGAATTCGACTTACAAGACTTGGCCAGTAAAGCGATTTTATGTCCAAAGAACGAGGAAGCTCTGAAGCTTAATGAAGAAATTCTTTCCACGTTCCAGGTCAAGTTTTCACGCACTACAGTGCAGACTCGGTTATTTGCGTTGACGAAGAAGAACAAGAAACGTATCAGCTGGATTTCATCCACAGCCTGACGCCTTCTGAAATGCCACCTCATCGTCTGAATTTGAAAGTTGGAGTTATAGTTATGCTTCTACGAAATCTACATCCATCGGTTGGACTCTGCAACGGAACAAGGCTCATTGTGAAGAGAATTATGCCAAACGTTTTAGATTGTGAAGTCATCTCTGGACAGAATGCTGGATCGAGAGTTTTCATTCCACGTGTTGAACTTTCACCATCAGATTCAAACCTCCCCTTTCAGCTCAAGCGAAGACAGTTTCCCATCAGGCTTGCATTTTGTATGACTATTAATAAGTCACAGGGACAGACACTTAAGAAAGTTGGGATTTATTTACCGCAACCAGTTTTCAGTCATGGAATGCTTTATGTAGCTTTTTCAAGATGTTCGTCTATGAGGAATGTTCGTGTTTTAGTGAAAGACACCAAGAAGCAAGGCCATTTGATACCCAGTTGTTCTAAAGTATTTACACGAAATATTGTTTACAGGGAGGTAACAACATAAAACTGAAAATGTTTGAGATTTTTGGATGACTAGGATAAAATGAAGCAAGTCAAGATGAAGCTGAAAATAGTATTAGTTAATTTTATGTCTATCGTTACAAAGTGAAATTTAGAGTTGTTAAGGAATCAGAAGTTATATTAGTTTTTTCAATGTAGTAAATATTTTCTATAAATTTTTCTTTTCAGATATACATACAATTGCTGTCATTAATTTTTTAAATTTTCGTTTTCTTTTTTAGGTATTTATGGAACTAATTTCATTCATATAAACATATTTTTCCAATTGTATATAGAAATGATTTTATTTAATTTAAAATGAAATTTTTAAAAAGGAAAATCCTCCCCCAGATGGGCGCAGCCCCGCATTTGGCGGGCTTACCCGGGAGGTTTATTTTTTATTTATTTATTTATTTATTTATTTATTTATTTTTTTTTTAAATATCAAAAATCTCCCCAAATTTAACACGGGAACTCTTTTAGACACAGCCCACCAGCGGCCGAGCGGTAAAGTCGCTGAACACTGGTAGTTCGGTCCGAGGTTCGAATCCCGCAAACGGGCTGGCTGCATGGGTGTTTTCGTGGTTTTCCCCATGTGTAACGTGTATACGAGCCAGTTTCCCTTAGAAAGTCCTCCACGAAGGCATCCCTCCCCTTAGGCAGATAGCCCTAGTGTGCTTTGCCATAATTAAATACACCAACACCAACCTTTTAGACACAAATAATGAATAAAACGGGCTCAGCTGGCGGATTTCACCGCTAGTATGAATCTAAAATCATACATGAAAATACTGAATAAAATATTTAGAGTATAACCACAGATTAGACTATATGATAGAATTAAAGAATAGTTCTTTTTCTCAGTTTTAGATTTATAGGCACGCTCCGCATGGCCTAAGACCACGCCCCTAATTAACTGATAGGTAAATCCAAGTTGCTGTAAAAACTCTAAACATTTGTAGACTGTATACTAATCAAGCAAATGAATATACTAATGTAATGCTTCTTATGAAACAGGATTATTTTTGCGTTACGCGTTTGTAAGTATGATGTGTTACAGTTCTTAAATTGTACCGAAGTCCACTGGAGCCCGGCTCTGGTAATTCTCAATTTTTAAGATAAATTGCAATTTTAGCCGGAGCACACTGGAGCCCTAAATAAGATCAGCTCCGGTTCTTCTTTTTATAAAACTGAACTGCAATTTAAAGGGAAAACATTTTAATTTAACAATAAGCAGACGTTGCAATACCGTATTTGCCTAGAAATACGAACTTGTGAGAACATGAGACGTTCAAGTAAAGTCTCCTCACTCATATGCGGAAACCTTTCCCTTTTAGAAGGGCAATAAATTTGTTGGAGTTTGTTTAGGAACGCGTAAATTTCTCGCCATGCCATCGTATCTAGTGTATTGTTATCGATGCTTAAATAGTTATCCTCGCAGGAAGGAAAATTTGTGTTCTTAAATGTGCGTTAAGTAAAAGCGAGTACAATATGAGTGAAATACTGAGATAAACTGCTCAAGAACGTCCTATACATCGTCTTTCCACATTATCCATTAATGAGGGGGGGCAAAGCGTAACCAGTAACTTTACATTCATCCTTAGGAGTCGGATTTATTTTACCCCTGACATACATCTGCTTGATGGTTATAATTATATCAGCAGAGAGCCGCGGTCAAAGAGGACGCTCTCTCTCACCAAGATTCCCCTCATTTTTTGTTTCCACCCACTCATAGCCTCATTTTGTTTTGCCCTGGAATTTTCATCTGCTGTACTTTAAGTATATTTAATTTTTGTGATGATAAAAGAACTCTCCCCCCTACGATCAGAGATTAAATTGGGCCACAGCCCACCGGATATTCGCTCCTTCTCAGTTTTTGTAATAAATCATAATTCTAGCCGGAACACACCGGAGCCCTAAATAAGAAGGTTGCGGCACTTCTTTTATCTGAATAACAATTTCAGTAGAAATTTTATCTCGAAACTTTTATTTTAACAATAAAATTATATTAAAAATTATATTATTATTATTAAATTTCAATTTATCTCTTTACATTTTATTTAATTTTAATTATTTAATTACTTCAATCTTTAATTATTTCAATAAATAATCATCATCTAATAATTATCAATGAAATTATAATTAATTATCTAATAATTATCAATTAAGTTATAATTAATTATACACTAATTATTGATTAAGTAGCATTTATAAATATTAATTAAATAGCTATTAATTAATTTGATGATACTATTTAACTATTTGATTAACTATTTAATTTTAAATTTTTAATGAGTTTAATAGTCATTTTATTTATTTACTCTTGTTCCTCTTTGCTGACGGTCTTCCATAGGGCACTGGCACTTCTAATCTTAGAAATTAAGCATGTCTACCATCGTGTGATTAGTACGCTCGTTAAACTTGGGTAGTGTGAGCTGCGTTTACATACAGTCAGACCACGCGGTTGCATGGAAGTTTTTCTCTATCTGTAACACAAATACGAAACATTTTCCCTTAAAATGGCGCCCATGAGATCATTCCTCCGAAAATTGTTCTTTTCTGCCTTGCCTTAATCCATATAATGGAAAATGAAGATACATTTTTAAGCATTTATATTGACGATTGCATAATATGTGTAACTTTTACTAAATGTTTCTCATCTTCAGTTAAAATTCGACTTAATGGAGCTTTTCAGAAATAAACTAATAAGAATTTTATTTGTTTAATATTAAATTACTTTCTAGCAGCGGAATTTCAGACATTTTCAGATGCTTAATTTTCGATTAGAAAATTACTAACACCACTTATTTTATATAATTGATATTATTGTCTTTCGTTAAAAAAACATCAATTTCATAAATCATGTTTGTTGTTCATGCTTTGAATTTACTGAAAGAAATGCAAATAATAATATTTCAATTCCAGCGGCTAAAATT